ACAAGGAAGTCTAGCCGTAAAACTTCGGAGATATAGAAAGTATGAAGTAGTGGAGAACCATGGAGAAGCAGACAGTAGAGAAATCCAAAGAGTACAGAAGTAAAGAGAGCAGAGAAGTCAAGAGAGTAGAGAAGTGAAGAGAGTAGAGAAATCAAGAAAGTAGAGAAGTAAAGAGTAAAGAAGTGAAGAGATTCGAGAAGTGAAGAGAGTAGAGAAGTAAAGAGTAGAGAAGTGAAGAGATTCGAAAAGTGAAAAGAGTAGAGAAGTAAAGAGAGCAGATATTGTAAGTGAAGAGAGACATTGAGTGAATCGTGCATCAACACTAGAAACGATGCGGGGTCTATTTGCTTCGGGCCACAGCTCCAGTCATCCGTGGCCAACGAAGCTACTGATGTTGGTGGACGATATGCTGATCAACTGCTCGTACCTGCAATCAATTTCAAATACGAAGCCGAACGTTTTTTGACATAACTTCCAGGCCAAGCTTAAACCTGACTCGCCGATTTCATCCCATTTTCATAAAAACTTTGATGGGCTTAGATGCACGGGTCTTTCCATCTTGGGATTCCTGGTGGGGTTTCTTAGCTATTTTGTATGGATCTCACCGCATGTGCATTCATTGAGAAGCTTGCAGCCGCATTCACAAATTTACCATGGTAGAAGACCCATTTTGGGGTATTGATAGCTTGACACAAGACGTCACTAACTTTGATGTTCATGCAGGCGACCCATCACTCTGTGGTGGCGCATGCAAGTGTTTGTTTGTGTGTGGGGAGAGAGAGAGAGAGAGAGCAAGAAAGATGCGTTTTAAAATTGAATCAAAATAAGACCATATGAAGTCTGCTTCCAATGTGCAGGCCGGCAGACGTGATGCACTGCTTGCAGATCTTCACGAGCCAGGGTTTGCTTTACAAAATTCACCAGCTCGCAGCCTCTCTCTGGAAGCCAGCGCCTTAGGCATTTCTAATCAGAACCGGATTGATTTGCGAAGTATGGTATTTTGAATTGATTCGCAGCTGGTTGGACCTTCAACTACTTATTTCGATTTTGCTTGCAAATCCAAGCCACCTAAACCCTGTTTGCGGGGCATTGAGATTATGAATGTTTTCAGATTTCCTTTGCGAGTGAGGAAAGCGAGCGACTGCAAATGAGGCACGTGGCACGGAAGGATTGCGGGTCAAATATCATCAAAATCGTTTGCTTTGGTATTCGTGACCCTCCCTTGCCTGCAGGGTGGCTGACCAAGAGTCTTTGGTGCTGAGTTCGTTCGAACCGCAGGCTGTGTGACTTTCTTTCAATGATCAATGCGGTGGCAATCATTTGTCTTGAGGTTGAAAGACACATGTGGGAAGAGAGAGAGAGAGAGAGAGAGATGTCTCAATCTGATTAGCCTAGTACAGCCCCGATCGTTCTGGGAACATTGCATAAAATGGAAGAACGGGAAGAAGACAAAACAATTTGCATGAACGGAAAATTTGTAAACGTGAAGGACAATAGTTTAATGACGTTGATAGTGGCAGTAAAGGTGAGACGGGTGCTTTGAAAACCTTTAAACATCTTTTCACTTCAGATTCAGTTAAGTAATTACTTAAATTTGCTGCGGGGCGTGGGTGGTGGTGGGTGGTGGGTGGTGGGTGGTGGGTGGTGGGTAGTGGTGACCCGGGTTTCGCCGATGGTGCTGTTACTGCCGTTGCAGCGATTGGAGAGTGGACTGTCACAGAATCATTTGGTAGAGTTTCCAAGATGCCAACGGCAACAGCAAGATGCAAGCTTGATTTTCTATCCTGAGGAACAATTGAAGAGCAGAAAGATCCAAACCACCTGATTATGCTTGTGAAGTTGAATATTTGTTTGGGGAATTTGCGCTCCTTTGCATGTTGAATTTCTTGAAAGGACCTTGATGAGACAATCGGAACAATCATGACGATTCCCTCGATAGAGCAGAGGGAGGCCAGAGGGATCAGCTCTGGAATTGGAAAATTTGGAAATCAGAATTGCATTAAATTGCATTACTCAAATTTTGAGTTCGTTGCATGCGAGATCAGAGGTTTTGCGAATGAAATCAATTTGCCCAAGTCTCGCGGTACCCAGCACCATGGTCCGAAGTTTTCATGGTCAGAAACAAAGCTGATGCGGCCAGAAATGGATGATTTCAATGGACTTCAATAGATTTTATTGAGTGTATCATCAGGGCAGAAATCCGCAACAATGGGTGTTGCAGAATGCACTGCAGGAGAGCCAACCAAAGAGGATTTTGATCAGAAGCTTAATGATTTAAACACATGACAAACAAACAACAACTCGTAGAAACATCCGCTGACATGTGCAAGACTGGCAAAACATCGCAAGACAATCCAACTTCTCAAGAGGCCCTTGAAGCCACCAAGTGTAGTTTTTGAAGTGGAAAATCCTTGGTGCAAAGGCGAGGGCAAACTTATGCAAGTGGACCCCAAATACCTCCAACTAGAGTTCTGATTAGCCAAGATACGCTCTGCTCACCCCTTTCCTCAAGCTACCAGCTCATGTTTAAAATCGTACTTGTAGGGCCTGCACACACCTGCATGTTTCAACTGAATGATACAATAACATACAATAACACCTAAACAGAATGAAACATAAATGCATGCAGCATGCAGCAGTATACAAGTATCAACAGTGTAAAATACATATTGCAGGATTTGAGCATGCAACTGGGATTTGGCACTCATAGACTCATAGATATACAAACACATCATAAAGCATCTATTTTTTCAATTAAGCTCCGACCCTTCAGCTCCCAGAAGTTCTGCAGTGTGCAGGACCTGGCAGCTGCAGAGCAGCAACGCAAGCAATCAGCTCGTAGCAACCGGCAACAGCCTCAGAGTCAATGTCAAAGAGATGTCAAAGAGATGTCAACAGCCAACTTCAGAATCCCCCAAACTTTGTAAACTTCTGAGGACGATGCAAAAGCTGCTTGACACAGTCCACAATGAGCTCAAAGAGGAATCTGCAAGGCTTGACATATACCGTATTGTTTGCAGATTCGTGCATGGTGGATTTTTGACATCTACTGAGTCTTGCTGGTTCTTCATGCAAGATGCTTGTTTTTGCGTCCTTCATTCAGATCCCAAGCCTCTCGCCATGAAGTTCGCCGGGCACGGAGCGAAGCCGCTGTGTGGCCCTTGAATTAATACTTCGCACCCTTAGCACTTCAGCTGTGTGTGTGTGAAACATCTGAACAGGTGTAAAACTTCTACCTCCTTGTATTATCAGTAGATGCACGGGGACAGCATTTCACTGCGACTGTGTCCAACGAAGCTACCGGTGAAATGGGATATCCAGCTTGGCCAGCTGGACATACCTGCAATCCGATTATTTCCTTTTCGATGACATGGCACGGGGCTAAGCCGAGAACCCCTACCTGACGTTTCAGTTCATGCTTTGCACGTTTGCTGCAATCTGGTATTTCTTCACTTCGAGATTAGCAAGTTTGCCGCAATCTGATATTTATTTATTCTTGCACGTCGGAATTCCTTCTTATTAATTAGATACACCTTCGAGGAGATCTCTTGGATCAATCATCTTGTTTAATTGCACGTTTTGGGATTCAGTTCCCGACGGATCACTCCGGTTCTTTTCTAGTGTGTGTTGCGCTCAACTGTTGGGCTCGTGCGTCACAATCTGCCGGTCAGCACACAGGTCAGCACACAGGTCAGAACACAGGTCAAGACACAGGTCAGCACACAGGTCAGCACACAGGTCAGCACACAGGTCAGAACACAGGTCAGAACACAGGTCAAGACAAAGGTCAGAACACAGGTCAGCACACAGGTCAGCACAGGCCCGCACGCATGTGCACAGAACTGTTTCTGGATCTGTTCTAATGTATCGAAATGTGCCGAAATGTATCGAAGTCGAAGTTGAGTGAGTCGTTACTGTGAAATAAATCGCCAGTACAGACTGAGTTGACAGCCCTCTGAGGTGCTGCGAGCCTTGCTTCAGAGAGCTGGATCCAAGGAGCGAAAGTGATCCAGAGATATCCAGAGCAACCCACGGCGAGTAAAGCGATTTGGAGCTGAACGCAGCTGGAACATACAGTCAAATGATGCGAAATGGAGCTACCAGTAGCATGGAGTTAATTGGAGTCAGATGAAATCGGTTTCTATCCCTATGACTATCGCTGCAATGTTGCAGTGCCCCCAAGTGCCACATTGCCTTCTTGACACTTTTACTGTAGCTGTTGCAGGAGGCATCTGAGATTTCTCAGACAAGTCCTTCGCAGGAGTTTGCTTTCGGCCTAGAACTGTAGTTTGAACGGTTTGGCTACAGCAAGGGTGTGTGCATCCGTGTTCATCCCATATCATTGTATATCATTGTCTCATATTGTCTCTTTCTTGCCATTGCCATCCTTTTGTGAGATTTGATCTTTTGATCCAAGGTTCAGATGGATGTTGTGAAACAACATCGCACCGCTAATATGGCTGGGATGCAGAAGATGCAGGATCACTGCTTTGAATGTTTTGATTTCTCAGTGATTCAGCAGGTGATTCATGCAGCGGCCTGCAGCGGTTGCTGATCCTTTTTGGCCGGGACGAATCCAGGAACGTTTGCACGAAGAGATGGAGGATTGCGATGCTTTGGCAGTCGCCTTGGAAGAGGCCTTGCAAAAGGATCAAAGTAATTATTCAACAGTTTTGATGGTTTTGCAATCTTTTTGTTTTATGTGTTTGTTTAATCTTTACATTTCAAAAGTAAGGTGGCAATTCTTGTGGCACAACGCTGAAGTCACGTGTATTGAGTCAAAAGCTGGAATCATTTCACATATTTTCACCTAGCCCACAAGTGCGATGAGCAGGTCATGGAGAAATTGAGCCAGTACCAACGAAGGACACAGTCACGTTGGAAGCACGTTGCACAGTTACAAGATGTTACAAGTAACACGCTGTTTCCACGCCTTCCGAAACCAGTTTGGTATTTTTGTCGGCGGTGATCCTTGATGCCAAACTGTCTGTAGCAGTAGCATGCGTAGCAGCAGTTCCGTAGATTTGAGAATTGACTTTGACTGCTTTGACTGCTTTGACTGCTTTGACTGCTTTCACTTCTTTGACTTGAATTCGTTTCTTCCTGGCATTGATGTCTCAAGATGCAGGCTCGAGGAGAACGAGCTAGAGATTGGGCAGCTGCGAGTGGAGATGGAGAAGGCGAAGGTGCCAAACGACGCCCGTGATCTCTGTGTATTTTGTGAAGCAAGAGCTGCAGATTGAAACCTCACAGCAGGAAACAGGAGGGCAGTAAGCTCTCAAAGGCTCGTTACTGTCAATGAATTCGCAAACTTAAGACAGAATTACAGGATTTACATGGCTACAGCGAGAACCACACATCAACCTCTAATTCCCACCAAGATTTCTAGACCATTGACGCTGCAAAACGATGCAAAATGAGGCGCTGCTAGTAGCCTCGATTCTATTTCACAAGACCGCCCCTCACACCATTTGGCAACAAGGGGCAAGCAAGTTAGAGTAGTGCTGTTTCTGGCAGAAGGTCTTTTTGGGTACAGACGGGTATTTGGTACTAGAATTCCTCAATGAACCTGTATCCACGGCTGTTCCAAGCGCCCATGTCCCTATAACTAGAAGTCAAGGTATCTAAATCTCTCGAAGGCTTCATCAAACAGAGATAGAGACACAACGCACACTTACCATCACTTACCTAGAAAAAGACCATTCCCTTGCTGCAGTCGATCTATCCTAATCCGTTCCCATATCCAAGTTTCCCGCCATTTTGACAATATTCATTGAACATCTTGATAGTGTCTAAATCATTTGCAACCTGTTCTCCTGCAGGTAGAACTCGCACAGCATCACCAGAGCCAGCCAATTCTACTTCAAGAGAAAGCTGCGCTCGAACGACAGCTGCAAGAGGCACATGGCGGGGTTGATGCATATCATTAATCTCATTGTGTTTGTTTTATTTTCTTTTGTTTTCATATGAAGTCTTACCTGACGGAGGTCAGAGGAAGACTAGGGACAAACAAAGAAGTGCATTGAAAACGCTTCAAACTTCCACAACAGGTCACACAATCTGAAGTTCAAAAGCACGCCCAGCTCGAAGAGGCCCCATACTCTTGAAGAGTTGCCGCATGTTGCCGCTAAAGATGCTGCGCAAAACACAATTTAAAGACAATCTGATCAGCGAGTCTTTTGAATCGAAGGCACAAGCTCTTGCACAGCAGACAGCTGCTGAGAACGAACTGAAACTCGAGGAGGCCGCTTTCAGTTTTTTTGCATGAAATTCATAGTTTCATGACATAGCTTGATCATGTGTCGGTTGGTCAGTCTGATGAGTATGCATACTCTGGAATCCCCAAATTGGGTTGCAAATCATGAGGCAAAGACTCGAGCACAGCAGCTTGAAGAAGCAAGGCTGCTGGCTGAAGAGAAGCACAAGGAACTGCAGGTGGGTCAGTGTGTTGAATGCTGATCGAGCGTTGAACTTTGTCAGTTCATGTAATGTAATTTTTAACGAAAGCCCTCCGCACAACGCAGACACAACTTGGATACAACTTGGACAGAACTTGACTACACCTTGGATGCAAGTGTGAATGTGGCTGCTTCGCATCTTTTGAGCAAAAGGCGCATCTCCAGCAAAGTCAGCCAATCATTCTCCAAGAGAAAGAAATGCTCCAGAAGCAAGTTCAAGAGGCACATAACCAGCCAGACTTTGGAAGCGTGCTTGACATTTTGATTCGGACACCATGCGTTGAAAACCATGAGCAGGCAGGTTAATTGTGCATTTAATTGTGAAAAGAACGTTCCTAGAAGATGTTGCAAGTCATTTATTAGTACGAAGGCACAAGAGCTTGTGCAGCAGACAACTGCTGAGAATGCTGGGAAGCAAGTTGAATTGGAGGAGGCAGGTTCTTTCAGGACGTTTTTCAATTTTCGATTGGAATTGCGTAACCCAACTACATGGCTTGCTTATGAGCCGGTGAGTATGACGTATATGCACACCGCGGAATCGCCAACTTGCCTTGCAAATCATGAGGCAAAGACTCGAGCACAGCAGCTTGAAGAAGCAAGGCTGCTGGCTGAAGAGAAGTACAAGGAACTGCAGGTGGGTCAGTGTGTCGAATGCTGATCGAGCGTTGAACTTTGTCAGTTCATGTCAGATCATTCTTGAACAAGAGCACGCAGACATATCTTGGATACAACTTGGACAGAACTTGACTACACCTTGGATGCAAGTGTGAATGTGGCTGCTTCGCATCTTTTGAGCAAAAGGCGGATCTCCAGCAAAGTCAGCCAATCCTTCTCCAAGAGAAAGAAATGCTCCAGCAGCAAGTTCGAGAGGCACATAACCAGCCAGACTTTGGAAGCGTGCTTGACATTTTGATTCGGACACCATGCGTTGAAAACCATGAGCAGGCAGGTTAATTTTGCATCTAATTGTGAAAAGAACGTTCCTAGAAGATGTTGCAAGTCATTTAGTACGAAGGCACAAGAGCTTGTGCAGCAGACAACTGCTGAGAATGCTGGGAAGCAAGTTGAATTGGAGGAGGCAGGTTCTTTCAGGACGTTTTTCGATTGGAATTGCGTAACCCCACTACATGGCTTGCTTATGAGCCGGTGAGTATGACGTATATGCACACCGCGGAATCGCCAACTTGTCTTGCAAATCATGAGGCAAAGACTCAAGCACAGCAGCTTGAAGAAGCAAGGCTGCTGGCTGAAGAGAAGTACAAGGAACTGCAGGTGGGTCAGTGTGTCGAATGCTGATCGAGCGCTGAACTTTGTCAGTTTATGTAATTTGACTTAATTTAATATAATTTAATTTTTAACGAAAGCCCTCCGCACAACGCAGACGCAACTTGGATACAACTTGGACAGAACTTGACTACACCCTGGATGCAAGTGTTAATGTGGCTGCTTCGCATCTTTTGAGCAAAAGGCGCATCTCCAGCAAAGTCAGCCAATCATTCTCCAAGAGAAAGAAATGCTCCAGAAGCAAGTTCAAGAGGCACATAACCAGCCAGACTTTGGAAGCGTGCTTGACATTTTGATTCGGACACCATGCGTTGAAAACCTTGAGCAGGCAGGTTAATTTTGCATCTAATTGTGAAAAGAACGTTCCTAGAAGATGTTGCAAGTCATTTATTAGTACGAAGGCACAAGAGCTTGTGCAGCAGACAACTGCTGAGAATGCTGGGAAGCAAGTTGAATTGGAGGAGGCAGGTTCTTTCAGGACGTTTTTCAATTTTCGATTGGAATTGCGTAACCCAACTACATGGCTTGCTGTGCCGGTGAGTATGACGTACATGCACACCACGGAATCGCCAATTTGTCTTGGAAATCATGAGGCAAAGGCTCGAGCACACCAGCTTGAAGAAGAAAAGCTCCTGACTGAAGAGAAGTACAAGGAACTGCAGGTGGGTCAGTGTGTCGAATGCTGATCAAGCGCTGAACTTTGCCAGATCATGTATATAACTTAATTTTGAACGAAAGCCCTCCGCACAACGCAGACACAACTTGGATACAACTTGGACAGAACTTGACTACACCTTGGATGCAAGTGTGAATGTGGCTGCTAGCATCTTTTGAGCAAAAGGCGGATCTCCAGCAAAGTCAGCCAATCCTTCTCCAAGAGAAAGAAATGCTCCAGCAGCAAGTTCGAGAGGCACATAACCAGACTTTGCAAGCGTGCTTGACATTTTGATTTGGACACCATGAATTGAACACCCTCAGCAGGGTAATTGTGAAACAAGTTCCTAGAAAATATTGCGAGTCGTTTAGTAAGAAGGTACAAAAGCTTCAACAGCAGACAGCGGCTGAAAATGCTGAGAAGCAAGTTGAACTGGAGGAGGCAGGTGCTTTCATGTTTGCATTTTTTTCACTTGGAATTGCGTAAACTCATGGCTTGATCATGTGTCGGTTGGTGAGTCTCAAGAGTATGCATACTTTCGAATCCCCAACTTGTCTTGGAAATCATGAGGCAAAGGCTCGAGCGCAGCAGCTTGAAGAAGCAAGGCTGCTGGCTGAAGAGAAGTACAAGGAACTGCAGGTGGGTCAGTGTGTCGAATGCTGATCGAGCGCTGAACTTTGTCAGTTTATGTAATTTGAATTAATTTAAAATTTAATATGATTTAATTTTTAACGAAAACCCTCCGCGCAACGCAGTCACAACTTGGATACAACTTGGACAGAGCTTGACTACACCCTGGATGCAAGTGTGAATGTGGCTGCTAGCATCTTTTGAGCAAAAGGCGCATCTCCAGCAAAGTCAGCCAATCCTTCTCCAAGAGAAAGACATGCTCCAGCAGCAAGTTCAAGAGGCACATAACCAGCCAGACTTTGGAAGCGTGCTTGACATCTTCATTTGGACACCATGCGTTGAAAACCTTGAGCAGGCAGGTCAATTGCTAAAAACAACGTTCCTTGAAGATGTTGCAAGTCATTTAGTACGAAGGCACAAGAGCTTGTGCAGCAGACAACTGCTGAGAATGCTGAGAAGCAAGTTGAACTGGAGGAGGCAGGTTCTTTCAGGACGTTTTTCATCGTTTTTCGATTGGAATTGCGTAACCCCACTACATGGCTTGCTGTGCCGGTGAGTATGACGTACATGCACACCACGGAATCGCCAATTTGTCTTGGAAATCATGAGGCAAAGGCTCGAGCACACCAGCTTGAAGAAGAAAAGCTCCTGACTGAAGAGAAGAACAAGGAACTGCAGGTGGGTCAGTGTGTCGAATGCTGATCGAGCACTGAACTTTGTCAGTTCATGTAACTGATTTCTTAACCAAAGCCTTCCGCGCAACGTAGACATAACTTGGATACAACTTGGACAGAACTTGACTACACCCTGGATGCAAGTGTGAATGTGGCTGCTTCGCATCTTTTGAGCAAAAGGCGGATCTCCAGCAAAGTCAGCCAATCCTTCTCCAAGAGAAAGAAATGCTCCAGCAGCAAGTTCGGGAGGCACATAACCAGACTTTGGAAGTGTGCTTGACATTTTGATTTGGACACCATGAATTGAACACCCTCAGCAGGGTAATTGTATGTAATTGTGAAACAAGTTCCTAGAAAATATTGCAAGTCGTTTAGTAAGAAGGTACAAAAGCTTCAACAGCAGACAGCGGCTGAAAATGCTGAGAAGCAAGTTGAACTGGAGGAGGCAGGTGCTTTCATGTTTGCATTTTTTTCACTTGGAATTGCGTAAACTCATGGCTTGATCATGTGTCGGTTGGTGAGTCTCATGAGTATGCATACTTTCGAATCCCCAACTTGTCTTGGAAATCATGAGGCAAAGGCTCGAGCGCAGCAGCTTGAAGAAGCAAGGCTGCTGGCTGAAGAGAAGTACAAGGAACTGCAGGTGGGTCAGTGTGTCGAATGCTGATCGAGCGTTGAACTTTGTCAGTTCATGCAAGATCATTCTTGAACAAGAGCACGCAGACATATCTTGGATACAACATGATACAACTTGGACAGAACTTGAGTACACCTTGGATGCAAGTGTGAATGTGGCTGCTTCGCATCTTTTGAGCAAAAGGCGGATCTCCAGCAAAGTCAGCCAATCCTTCTCCAAGAGAAAGAAATGCTCCAGCAGCAAGTTCGAGAGGCACATAACCAGACTTTGGAAGTGTGCTTGACATTTTGATTTGGACACCATGAATTGAACACCCTCAGCAGGGTAATTGTGAACAAAGTTCCTAGAAAATATTGCAAGTCGTTTAGTAAGAAGGTACAAGAGCTTCAACAGCAGACAGCGGCTGAAAATGCTGAGAAGCAAGTTGAACTGGAGGAGGCAGGTGCTTTCATGTTTGCATTTTTTTCACTTGGAATTGCGTAAACTCATGGCTTGATCATGTGTCGGTTGGTGAGTCTCATGAGTATGCATACTTTCGAATCCCCAACTTGTCTTGGAAATCATGAGGTAAAGGCTCGAGCGCAGCAGCTTGAAGAAGCAAGGCTGCTGGCTGAAGAGAAGTACAAGGAACTGCAGGTGGGTCAGTGTGTCGAATGCTGATCGAGCGTTGAACTTTGTCAGTTCATGTCAGATCATTCTTGAACAAGAGCACGCAGACATATCTTGAATACAACTTGGACAGAACTTGACTACACCTTGGATGCAAGTGTGAATGTGGCTGCTTCGCATCTTTTGAGCAAAAGGCGGATCTCCAGCAAAGTCAGCCAATCCTTCTCCAAGAGAAAGAAATGCTCCAGCAGCAAGTTCGGGAGGCACATAACCAGCCAGTCTTTGGAAGCGTCAAGCTTGACATCTTCATTTGGACACCATGCGTTGCACACCATGAGCAGGTTAATTGTGAATATAGCTTTTCAATGCTTTTCACAGATGATTTTGTCCACGTTTTTGTACACCATGGCCACCATGGTGCTCAATCCACAACTTTTTGAAGCGAACCGTAAGGGAACAGCACTGACATAGCAATTGAAATGGACTATCCCCGACAAAAGGCGGGTAGACTGGAAAACTATGTGTACTGCTGTGTGTGTGTGTTTGTGTGTGCGTACTGTGTGTACCATCCGTGATTTTCTTACTTTTTGCGTGTGCATCCACGCGTGTGGGTGCAATCCGAAACCAACCTGCTTTTTTGATCGAAAACGACAGGCAAAAACAGACGAAATATATCGTAATGTCTTGGATTGTCTTGGTATCATCTTAATATATCTTAATATATCTCAATATATTTTAATCCTCTTCTCATCGTCCCATCATGCCAGGCCGACAAAGAGAAACAGCAGATGTTGGAAGACCTGAAGCAGCAAATGCAACTGGAGGCAGTGAATTTTAACAAATCCTGACACGATTGAGACAATTGCGATGGCAGTGAGACAAGTGAGACATAGATATGGCCATATGGCCCATGTGGCCCATATGGCACATCCATAGCCAATGCGGGACTGTGTTTCATTCAGGCACAGCAGTACACGACGTTTGCACCTCATGATGCTGTCTAGCAGATTTTGTGTTCAGGTATCGGCGATGTGTTCTGGTGGTGATTCTGAGTGGAGTCTCTTGGATTCTTTTTGCACTTCCAAGGTCTTTGCAAGAATTGGCTCGGGCGGAAATTGCCCGCAGAGATGAACAGGCGCAGGGTGGATTGCCTAAGGACAATGTGCAAATTTGGATATAATGATATAATATGATATAATATGTAGCTTTTTGTAATGTATAAAATTGCATAATTAGGAATCTACACTCACAATCATATGTAAGTCAGCCAAACCTTCTCCAAGAGAAAGAAATGCTCCAGCAGCAAGTTCGAGAGGCACATAACCAGACTTTGGAAGTGTGCTTGACATTTTGATTTGGACACCATGAATTGAACACCCTCAGCAGGGTAATTGTGAAAAAAGTTCCTAGAAAATATTGCAAGTCGTTTAGTAAGAAGGTACAAAAGCTTCAACAGCAGACAGCGGCTGAAAATGCTGAGAAGCAAGTTGAACTGGAGGAGGCAGGTGCTTTCATGTTTGCATTTTTTTCACTTGGAATTGCGTAAACTCATGGCTTGATCATGTGTCGGTTGGTGAGTCTCATGAGTATGCATACTTTCGAATCCCCAACTTGTCTTGGAAATCATGAGGCAAAGGCTCGAGCGCAGCAGCTTGAAGAAGCAAGGCTGCTGGCTGAAGAGAAGTACAAGGAACTGCAGGTGGGTCAGTGTGTCGAATGCTGATCGAGCGTTGAACTTTGTCAGTTCATGCAAGATCATTCTTGAACAAGAGCACGCAGACATATCTTGGATACAACATGATACAACTTGGACAGAACTTGAGTACACCTTGGATGCAAGTGTGAATGTGGCTGCTTCGCATCTTTTGAGCAAAAGGCGGATCTCCAGCAAAGTCAGCCAATCCTTCTCCAAGAGAAAGAAATGCTCCAGCAGCAAGTTCGAGAGGCACATAACCAGACTTTGGAAGTGTGCTTGACATTTTGATTTGGACACCATGAATTGAACACCCTCAGCAGGGGGTAATTGGAAAAAAGTTCCTAGAAAATATTGCGATCGTTTAGTAAAGAAGAGTACAAAACTTCAACAGCAGACAGCTGGCTGAAAATGCTGAGAAGCAAGTTGAACTGGAGGAGCAGGTGCTTTCATGTTTGCATTTTTTTCACTTGGAAATTGCGTAAACTCATGGCTTGATCATGTGTCGGTTGGTGAGTCTCATGAGTATGCATACTTTCGAATCCCCAACTTGTCTTGGAAATCATGAGGCAAAGGCTCGAGCGCAGCAGCTTGAAGAAGCAAGGCTGCTGGCTGAAGAGAAGTACAAGGAACTGCAGGTGGGTCAGTGTGTCGAATGCTGATCGAGCGTTGAACTTTGTCAGTTCATGTCAGATCATTCTTGAACAAGAGCACGCAGACATATCTTGAATACAACTTGGACAGAACTTGACTACACCTTGGATGCAAGTGTGAATGTGGCTGCTTCGCATCTTTTGAGCAAAAGGCGGATCTCCAGCAAAGTCAGCCAATCCTTCTCCAAGAGAAAGAAATGCTCCAGCAACAAGTTCGAGAGGCACATAACCAGACTTTGGAAGTGTGCTTGACATTTTGATTTGGACACCATGAATTGAACACCCTCAGCAGGGTAATTGTGAAAAAAGTTCCTAGAAAATATTGCGAGTCGTTTAGTAAGAAGGTACAAAAGCTTCAACAGCAGACAGCGGCTGAAAATGCTGAGAAGCAAGTTGAACTGGAGGAGGCAGGTGCTTTCATGTTTGCATTTTTTTCACTTGGAATTGCGTAAACTCATGGCTTGATCATGTGTCGGTTGGTGAGTCTCATGAGTATGCATACTTTCGAATCCCCAACTTGTCTTGGAAATCATGAGGCAAAGGCTCGAGCGCAGCAGCTTGAAGAAGCAAGGCTGCTGGCTGAAGAGAAGTACAAGGAACTGCAGGTGGGTCAGTGTGTCGAATGCTGATCGAGCGTTGAACTTTGTCAGTTCATGTCAGATCATTCTTGAACAAGAGCACGCAGACATATCTTGAATACAACTTGGACAGAACTTGACTACACCTTGGATGCAAGTGTGAATGTGGCTGCTTCGCATCTTTTGAGCAAAAGGCGGATCTCCAGCAAAGTCAGCCAATCCTTCTCCAAGAGAAAGAAATGCTCCAGCAGCAAGTTCGGGAGGCACATAACCAGCCAGTCTTTGGAAGCGTCAAGCTTGACATCTTCATTTGGACACCATGCGTTGCACACCATGAGCAGGTTAATTGTGAATATAGCTTTTCAATGCTTTTCACAGATGATTTTGTCCACGTTTTTGTACACCATGGCCACCATGGTGCTCAATCCACAACTTTTTGAAGCGAACCGTAAGGGAACAGCACTGACATAGCAATTGAAATGGACTATCCCCGACAAAAGGCGGGTAGACTGGAAAACTATGTGTACTACTGTGTGTGTGTGTTTGTGTGTGCGTACTGTGTGTACCATCCGTGGTTTTCTTACTTTTTGCGTATGCATCCACGCGTGTGGGTGCAATCCGAAACCAACCTGTTTTTTGATCAAAAACGACAGGCAAAAACAGACGAAATATATCGTAATGTCTTGGATTGTCTTGGTATCATCTTAATATATCTTAATATATCTCAATATATTTTAATCCTCTTCTCATCGTCCCATCATGCCAGGCCGAAAAAGAGAAACAGCAGATGTTGGAAGACCTGAAGCAGCAAATGCAACTGGAGGCAGTGAATTTTAACAAATCCTGACACGATTGAGACAATTGCGATGGCAGTGAGACAAGTGAGACATAGATATGGCCATATGGCCCATGTGGCCCATATGGCACATCCATAGCCAATGCGGGACTGTGTTTCATTCAGGCACAGCAGTACACGACGTTTGCACCTCATGATGCTGTCTAGCAGATTTTGTGTTCAGGTATCGGCGATGTGTTCTGGTGGTGATTCTGAGTGGAGTCTCTTGGATTCTTTTTGCACTTCCAAGGTCTTTGCAAGAATTGGCTCGGGCGGAAATTGCCCGCAGAGATGAACAGGCGCAGGGTGGATTGCCTAAGGACAATGTGCAAATTTGGATATAATGATATAATATGATATACTATGTAGCTTTTTGTAATGTATAAAATTGCATAATTAGGAATCTACACTCACAATCATATCTGTATATATATATATATGTGGTAGGGACCTTTGGGGTCTATTTCGCACGCGCGCACAGGTGGCAGGGTTGTCGTCTTGTGTACTTGTTTGCTGTTGCCCGGGTGCAAGGTCTGGCTCAGGCTCTTTTCAGAAGGTTGGGCTCCAGTGCCCTCCGCTTCCTTCACTTCTCTCACTTCTCCTGCTTGGCATCTGTTTATTTATTTGTTCATAGGGCGGAAGCGCTTGCTCTTGAGCCAATCTAGGCGCCAAGTATCTTCAGAAAATCACACTCTTCCCCTTTGCACGTTGTGCTTTCCATCAAGTTTCATTGTATTTTATGTAGTCTTCCTCTTCCTCTATTCTTACGGGGATGAAAGGGTTGTCTCTTGACCAGTGGTGTTGTATCTGTCTATCTACTTGGAAGGTTGTTCCATAGGGAGCATGAAGCAAGAGCTCATTGACATTGTGTTCACTTCTTTGGTTGTCTTTCTCTTTCTCTGTGTCTTTCTCCTATTGATTGCATTTGGGTGGAAGGGTTGGCGCTTGAGGGGAGGTCCGGCAAAGCTCTCTCAACTTAAACTATGACATTACTTTGAGCAGGGGAGGTTGGGAAAGGTTTCCTCGGCTATGGTCTTACTTTTGGCCTTCCTTTACATGTGTTTGTCGTTTGTTGCTGGGGTGGAAGGGTTGCTCCATAAGAAGCATGAAGCAAGAGCTCTTTGACATTGTTTTCACTTCTTCGGTTGTCTTCACTATCTCCTCTTGTTGTAATTTGTGCGAACGGGTTTGTAGTTGTCTGTTGTTGATGGGGTGGAATGGCTGTCGTCTTGTGTACTTGTTTGCTGTTGCCGGTGTGGAAGGGCTGTCCCTTCTGGCTCTCTGTCATCAGATCTTCTTATCATGCACGGGTGGGAGGTCTGGCTCAGGTCTCTTCGGAAGGTTGGGCTCCAGTGCCCCCCGCTTCCTTCACTTCTCTCACTTCTCCTGCTTGGCATCTGTTTATCTATGTGTGGATGGGATGGAAGCGTGTGCTTTTCAGCCTCTCTAGGGCAAAGTATCTTCAGAAAATCACGCTCTTCCCCTTTGCACGTTGTGCTTTCCATCAAGTTTCATTATTTTCTATGTAGTCTTCCTCTTCCTCTATTCTTACGGGGATGAAAGGGTTGTCTCTTGACCAGTGGTGTTGTATCTGTCTATCTACTTGGAAAGGTTTTTCCATAGGGAGCATGAAGCAAGAGCTCATTGACATTGTGTTCGCTTCTTTGGTTGTCTTTCTCTTTCTCTGTCTCTTTCTCCTATTGATTGCATTTGGGTGGAAGGGTTGGCTCTTGAGGGGAGGTCCGGCAAAGCTCTCTCAACTTAAACTATGACATTACTTTGAGCAGGGGAGGTTGGGAAAGGTTTCCTCGGCTATGGTCTTACTTTTGGCCTTCCTTTACATGTGTTTGTTGTTTGTTGCTGGGGTGGAAGGGTTGCTCCATAAGAAGCATGAAGCAAGAGCTCATTGACATTGTTGTCACTTCTTTGGTTGTCTTCACTATCTCCTCTTGTTGTAATTTGTGCGAACGGGTTTGTAGTTGTCTGTTGTTGATGGGGTGGAATGGTTGTCGTCTTGTGTACTTGTTTGCTGTTGCCGGTGTGGAAGGGCTGTCCCTTCTGGCTCTCTGTCATCAGATCTTCTTATCATGCACGGGTGGGAGGTCTGGCTCAGGCTCTCTTCGGAAGGTTGGGCTCCAGTGCCCCCCGCTTCCTTCACTTCTCTCACTTCTCCTGCTTGGCATCTGTTTATCTATGTGTGGATGGGATGGAAGCGTGTGCTTTTCAGCCACTCATAGCCACTCTAGGGCAAAGTATCTTCAGAAAATCACGCTCTTCCCCTTTGCACGTTGTGCTTTCCATCAAGTTTCATTATTTTCTATGTAGTCTTCCTCTTCCTCTATTCTTACGGGGATGAAAGGGTTGTCTCTTGACCAGTGGTGTTGTATCTGTCTATCTACTTGGAAAGGTTTTTCCATAGGGAGCATGAAGCAAGAGCTCATTGACATTGTGTTCGCTTCTTTGGTTGTCTTTCTCTCTCTGCCTCTTTCTCCTATTGATTGCATTTGGGTGGAAGGGTTGGCTCTTGAGGGGAGGTCCGGCAAAGCTCTCTCAACTTAAACTATGACATTACTTTGAGCAGGGGAGGTTGGGAAAGGTTCCCTCGGCTATGGTCTTACTTTTGGCCTTCCTTTACATGTGTTTGTTGTTTGTTGCTGGGGTGGAAGGGTTGCTCCATAAGAAGCATGAAGCAAGAGCTCTTTGACATTGTTTTCACTTCTTCGGTTGTCTTCGCTATCTCCTCTTGTTGTAATTTGTGCGAACGGGTTTGTAGTTGTCTGTTGTTGATGGGGTGGAATGGTTGTCGTCTTGTGTATTTGTTTGCTGTTGCCGGTGTGGAAGGGCTGTCCCTTCATTGGCTGCTTGGTTCTGAAGGATCAAGGGATTTGTGTACGTGCGCTACAAGCTTGTATGCATACCAAGAAAGCACATACACTTTTAGCTGGGGTATTCGTACTTCAATCTGGTAGTAAGGGCATGAGACTGTTGCTTAGGGAGCAAGTGGAAACTAGTATATTTGGGGAAATCATCAGGTCTCGCACGACTCTCCAACAGGGCCGGTAGCGAACTTAAGAAAGCAACAGCATTTGCAAACATGCGAAATCAATCAAAATCATGCAACTATGCAAATTGCAGACATTGCTAATTGTCCAAGGCATCATTTGACATCTCCACTCCTCGAAGCCACAAGTCCCCGTGGGCAGACAGTCCGGAGGTGCACAAGATTACAAAATATGACCAAATTTGTTGAGAGATGTAATGACATTTCCAACCATTTCCAACGTTGAGGAGAGACGTCCTGACGATGCTATCGTTGCTGAAAACAAGTCCAGAGCTTATCCACCTTTGTTATCTTTGTTTCAAGTTGTTCGCTTTTGTTCGTGAAAACAAGAAATTGTGCAAAGAGAGCGCCTTTCTCAGAGGAGATTGGTTGAAGGCTTCCAGATCTTGGTTTATTGTGCTGGCCCTCGTGTGTCCATGAGAATAGGGTGGCAATGGCTTCGCTTCCTCCGATGAAACCTTCTTTATGGCTTGAGACAAGCAAAGAAACGCAGAAACTTTCGACTTAGTATTTGCCTTCACCTTGTTTTGGATGCTTCATGTGGATTTCTGGTATCTTGGTGTTGAACACCACTAAACGGTACCAACAATGTATAATATCCAAAAAGGGGCTTTTCGAGAAATAGTGGAAAGTAGCGTGCGCAGACTTTTTTTTGCATGACTATACAATACTATACACTTGTTTATGTAAAGGTTGTTTCTCAAATAGACGCGATAGACATCTTGTCGCTTGTCCAATCAACAGAGGTCACGACTGAGATGACTCTAGTAATGTAATTCAAAGCATTATACAAAGCATTATATATCTGTCAAAGTAATATATATATCTATCTATCTATCTAAGAATTGCAGTATCTCAGCTAATTGGCACTGTGTTTGTGTTTTTTTTGCAATGCAGAATTGATTCGAACTGGGATGACTGCGAAATCACTTTGAAACTTGAATGGCAAAAATGGAAAGGTTCTTGTGATGGTGACAAGCCCGGGCAGTCACTCAGTCATGGGATATAGGCAAACCGAAACTCCGATTGAGGGGAAAGGTGGCCTGAAACTACCTCGATCTTTGGGTGAGAATGACATCACAAGTACTTTCAACACTTCACAAATTATCCATGAAGACGCCACCATGTTCTTTCATTGTGGCGTTGCTATTGTGGTGTAGAAAGAGTCAAGCAGCGAAGACCATCCTTGTTGGAGAGACCCAGGCAACATAGAAAGTCTGATTGCCAGAAAAATCGCGTTAGGGCAATGGAAGGACGGCGTAGTGTATGTGGCAATCGAAGCTCTGGAATTCTATAGTAGATAACTTGACGCTACCGTACCATGATGCTATATACATAGTGTAATCAGGTCGAATAGTGACGACGTACTTTGGGGGCCTTTTGCTGAACACCCGTTTCTTGGGCCTGGACCTCCAAACTGGGGTCTTTGGAATACAAGGCCCCAGGGTTTTCCAGCTTGGCATGTTTTTAAGTTGCTAACCAGCAGATGATATTTGCCCTGTTCAAATCCAGTTGGACATTGCTTGCCAATATTCTCAACAATTGCATGCATACATCATCACTCAAAAATGCTCAGGCAGCTTCATCAACGCATTGCAGTAGTTGAAGAGGAGAAGGAGCAGAAACCGGTTTGACTCACCACATTGTACTGATCCTGGTGGAATGCATTCACTAGCCCAAACTGGAATGGGAACACTTTGTAAGAATACAGCCATGCTCCAAGATGCTCCAAGTGAATATTGCCAAGAAGCGGCCAGGCCATCATGATGCAAAACTTGCGGGATCATGTCATGCAATTGGCCCGTCAAAGCCTCAGTACTACCCAGAGACTTTCAGTATTTGGCAGTTGCTGTCAGCTCATGTGACTCATGACGCAAGTTGACAGCTTGAGCTTTGAAGGAGAAAACTGGGATTTGAAGAACAGAGGAGGATTCGTTGAGGAGCAGCACTGCAGCAAGCTCTTCTTGATCAGTGACTTGTTTGTTTTGAACATGATATTCCTCAAGCTGTCAAGGGCGAAGACGGGTCCATGGCTCCTCCACGACAATCCTCCACTTAACTTCAAACACAAACAAAGAAAGTGCAGGACTCTTCAAGACGATCACAGAGCATCAAGGACTGTCAGATTGCAGGATGTAGAGTGTGCTGTCGACTGGGGTGCCTCAACATTTTTTGTACGTCCAGATGCTTGTTGGAAGGCAGATACATGTGAGCAATTTTCACTTCCCCAAGCTCACTTCTGTCACTTTGGCCCAAGTTGTTTCTTTGACCCTGGTTTCCACATCTCTCTCTCTCTATGTAATATAATCTAAATATTATATATATACATAAATTATAAATATGTATGAGGGTTGTTTATATTTATGTGGCATACATATGTATAAAATTGTATAAATGTATATGACCATTTGCCAAAAATAGTTGACAGATAATTAGTGCGGACCTAGTGGTTTTTCCTCTTCGTTATGAGGCGGCACGCAACTAAATTTACCAATTCTGCAAGGCAGCGCTAGCAAACCCGCTAGGTTTGCGCTAGTTTTTTTTCTCACACCTATGTTCAAGGATATTTTTTTGTGTTCCTGCTTGCTTGTTATTTCAACATGAACAGTCAAAATGTAACACTTAGATTTAGCTCCTGAATCCTAAGGATGTCTTAGTGAATTTCTGTGCTACTCAACAATTTTCCTATATTTTTGAGGTTGCGGCTCAACTTTGCGAATTTGTACGTAATTTTACCCGCTAGATCCCCGCTAGCAATGCGCTAGCAAAAGTTTCAAAAAGCGGCTTTGGTTGACCCGTGACCCAGTCGCCACCAGAGAACTTGTAGTTTATCCTGTCTGTTTGACAAAAGCAACAGTGACAGCAAAGGCAACGACCAGCTCTGCAGATATTCCAGTTCCACCCCTAATAACTAGCAGCGGCACCCACTTCATATAGACGCGCGTTAGCATTTACTCCAGGTTTTAGCTACGGCTTCAAACATGAAAGATAAAATGCAGGGTTTCAGACTATTTAGGTCAGTCATGGTTTTAAAGGCACAATAAGAAGCGGCACGCAAGGCCGTACGATTTATCAACCAAACCAGGAAAAGACATTTAGGCAAACCATCATTTACAGAATGCAACATATATGTATATATATATGTATATATATGTATGATATATAATAATACACATATATATATACATATGATATATAAGAATTTTGATATATATGATATATATATATATATATAATAATATATATATATATATAATAATATATATATATATAATAATATATATATATATATGTGATATGATATATAATAATATGTATGAAATATAATGATATATATATGATACAATAAACATTTGATATATATGATATATAATAATATATATATGATATATAATAATATATATATATGATCTATAATAACATATACATATATGATATATAATAATATATATTGATATATAATAATATATATATATGATATATAGTAATATATATGATATACAATGATATATATAGATATGATATATAATAATATATATAAATATATGATATATACTAATATATATATATGATATATACTAATACCTATATATATGATATATATGATATATCATAATATATATGATATATAATGATATATATATACATATATGGTATATAATAATAATATTAATATATATATGATATATAATTATATATTTATATGATATATATATATGATTAATAATAATAATAATAATATATATATGATTAATAATATATATATCATATATATATATATGATATATAATATATGTATATAATATAATATATAATCTTTAATACAACATAAATACAAAAAAATATGTATATATTTATATATATATTTATATATATATATATTTATATATATATATATAGTACCTGTAGTTTGGGCTTCAGCGCTCGAATGAGCAGGGAGCACCCTCTCCTGGGGTGCGGGTGTCCCCTTTGCCATATGTGGCGGAGGGTGGCCTCCTGCTTGCGCGGCCTGAAGCTACTCTGGTGTTTAGAGAGTGGGCATTGAAGCGAGTCCGGGAATTCTTCGCCGAGCTTCTCGACGCTTCTGAAGGATTAGTGGTGGGGGTACAGTCAGTGCCAGAATTATAGAACGGAGCCAGGAGGACAAAAGTACGGTAAAATACCGTACCTTTGTCCTCCTCCGGGTTCCGATTCGGAGCGGAGTCGGGAAATTTAATTATAGAACGGGGAGGAGGACAAAGGTACGGTATTTTTCCGTACTTTTGTCCTCCTGGCTCCGTTCTATAATTTCTGGCACTGACATGATATTTACTGCATATTTGTACATATACAATCTATAAAATGAAGATTTAATGAGGATTTGATGAGGAAATGAAGATAAAATGCAGATAAAATGAAGATTTGATGAGGAAACGAGGATAAAATGAGGATAAAATGAGGATAAAATGATGATAAAATGAGGATTTGATGAGGAAATGAGGAAAATTATTTATAGAACGAAAATGGGAAATGTGAGAAAAATGGGGGAAAACAGAATTATAGAACAACAGCGCTCCGACAAGAATTATAGAACGACGAAAAAAATTAGGAGGAAGATCAGATACATTTTTTTTCATACCTTCCGAGGAAAACAGAATTATAGAACAACAGGGTACGGTAAATAACCGTACCTTCGTCCTCCTCAACTTCCGTATGGTGTACATTAGGCAGAATGTTCCAGTGTCTGCTACAATACAAGTCTTGAGGGGGATGGAAAAAAGGCAGTTTGCTCAGCTCTTTCTGGGACCCCGGAAGAGGTTCTATAATTCTATAATTAATTTTTCCGTTCTATAATTAATTTTTCCGTTCGACGGAAAAATTAATTATAGAACGGGGCCCGGGAAACATTAATTATAGAACGAAAATGGGAAATGTGAGAAAAATGGGGGAAAACAGAATTATAGAACAACAGCGCTCCGACAAGAATTATAGAACGACGAAAAAAAATAGGAGGAAGATCAGATACATTTTTTTTTCATACCTTCCGAGGAAAACAGAATTATAGAACAACAGGGTACGGTAAATAACCGTACCTTCGTCCTCCTCAACTTCCGTTCTATAATTCCGGCACTGACCATAGATGTTCCTGTGGCAGGAGGGGCACCACCACCTCGAGTGGGAGCGGGTGTGCAACCACCCCTGGAAACTCCCGGGCCACCAAGTGGCAACTCTCCAACGGGAACCTAGAGCAGTCAGTGGGACCCACTCAGGCCACTTCAAAGTTTCAGCCAAGCCAACCACCCCCATCATTGGGAGAAGCCACAGCAACTCCCGGTGCAGCCGCAGCAGAGAAGGATAAAACCACCTGAGGAAGTAGCAGCCAAAGAAAAAGAATAGAGAACAAGGATAAAGACAAGTCCAAGAAGAACAAGTCCCGAAGTTCAGAGGGAGAAGACGAAGCCCAGGAGGAACAGAGCGACTCTCCGAGACCAAAAGGGAGCACAAAGCCCGGCCAGCCAGGAAGAAAAGCATCACCCAGCAAAAGAGGAGAGGCATCGGAGGAGTGCAAAGAAGTGGGAGGCGGCGCCGAGACTCCCGAGAGCGCCCCGTGCAAAGGGACCGAGGAAGGGAGATCAGAGCGCTGAGGTGGGCACTCCCGACACGAGCGACCTCCCAAGCCAAAGGGGCCGCCTCCAGTTAGGCGACTGGATTCCCCTCCTGGGACCAGTGGGGAAGGCAAAGGCAGTGGACTACAAAGGGTGTCAAGCGCCGTCAGCGAGCAGAGGACATCAGAACCTACGGGCCTGACCCACAGCGAAAGGCCCGAGAGAACAAGGGCAAGGTTTTAGATGAGACGCGGGGCCTTGAGAAGGCCAGCTGCAAAAGCAGGCCTTGAGACGGCCGGCTGCCGCTGTCAGAGAGGAGCCTAGCACACCCCAAGAACGGTGGGAGAAACGAGAAGTTGCCCAGAGTGAAGAATTTTCTCCTGGACTTATTGGGAGCGGGGACTGGAGTGTGAGATAGCCGGACGGGTTGAGAAGTTTGTCTTGGAGGGAGACCAGGTGGAGTTCGTGGCGCTTCTGACCGGGACTTCGCAAGAAGAGCTGCTGCAGTTTGCCTCAGGGTTGCAACCCCCGGTCATTCGGGCACACGTCTGTGGAACAGCCTGTGACCAGCGCCGATCGAACCAGGATCTGGCGCACCTTGTCTCCTTCCGGAAAGTGCCTGCTCCCGGAGATAGAACGTGGGAGGAAAACTTCAAGGAGAGCGACGAGAACGCTGAACTTCGCCGGCGCCAAGAAGAATGGGAAGCAAAAAGGAGAGAGGAGATAGCAGGGGAGAAAGACGATTCGTCGACCTCCCGAGACAAGGCAAAGAAGAAGAAAAAGAAGAAGGGCAAAGAGAAGAAGGTGAGGCAAGTCATTGGCGAGAAAAAAGGCCGAGGACCTGTATCGGGGGACGGGCCACGATCCGGACCCCAAAGCTCGGCGCCGTCTTCAAAGGCGGATGAAGCGGAGGTTGAAAAAAGCAAAGGGATCATCGTCGACCTCGTCTCAAAGCTCCAGCACGTCAACCGAGGACAGGGGCGAGGACGAGATCCTAGAAGACAGGAGCAAAATACAGAAACTGGCGGACCAGGGGCCGGGACTTCTAGCAGCTGCAGCGGTGCGCACCATGAAAGCGTTCGTGGTCCAAGCTTCAGGTGCCACTTGGAATCTCGACGAAGACAGTCTTCCCCCCATCATGAGCCAATACGCTCGAAGTTATCTGGCTCCAAAAGCCATTGGAGGCCTATTCAGGGAAGCCTTCACGCTGGCGCACATAGGACCTTCTCCTGATGCCTCGCCCTGCAGAGGCTTTGGACGCAGTGGGCAGAGGCTGAAGAGTTAGGAGGTAGTCGAACTGGGACCACGGCGCTGTTCTCAATTTCGAAGGCTATCCCCTGCCGCCGGAGCAGCAAGTGTACACCCGGCCACCTAGGGTGCTTGTCCCTCCTGAGCATTGGGAGCTTTTCTGTCAGAAGTTGATGGAGAAAGGAGCGTTTGACCGACATGAGGATGATCTACACCGGATAGATGGCATGCCAGTTCCCAATGGACTGTTTGGTGTGTCAAAACAAGAATTTGACGGTCCTTG